TATCCAAAAAGAAAGTATAGCTTCTGTTAGACATTGTTAAGAAACTATACTCATCTTTGAGGCAGTTCGATAATTATTACATAGTAGCTTATAGTTAAAGTTATTTATTAAATAATTGCAAGAAGGATTATCCTTAGGCACCTGTCTTAAGGATTCAGAGTATAAATTACAGGATAAAAAAGAAGAAAAATTGTTTGTTTCTTGTTAACTGAATTTTTCTTTTTACTTGAGAGAATTTAGATGGTTTATATATCTGTGAACTAAATGACTAAGTGACTAAGAAACTAAGTAACCAGTTTCACTAAAAGACTAAGCAACTAGTTTTACTAAGAGACTAAGCAACTAGTTTTACCAAGAGACTAAGTAACCAGTTTTACTAAGGGACTAAGTAACTGGATTTACTAAGGAACTAAGTGACTAGTTTTACTAAGAGACTAAGTAACTAGTATCACAAGCTTAAGGCATTAAAATATTTAAAGCATTAAAGCAACTATAACTAATAAATAATACAATAATAGAAATCTATCTTATAACAATACTCTAATATCTATGATTTTTTTTTTTTAGACATATTATAGCAGATTCAAATCTACTAATCCAATTATAAAGATCTTTAATGATTGTCATATAATTATATATTATAGATAATTTTGAATAATTATTTCTTATTTTAAATTTATAGATAGTTTTCTTATTTTATTAATACTCTAAAATTTATAATTCTTTTTTCTTTAGACATACTATAGCAGATTCAAATCTACTAATCCAATTGTGAAGGTCTTTCACAATTGTTATATAATTATATTATAAATAATTTTGAATAATCATTTTTTATTTCAAGTTTATAGATAGTTTTCTTATTTTATTAATACTTTAATATTTATGATTCTTTTTTCTTTAGGTATACTATAGCAGATTCAAATCTACTAATCCAATTATGAAGGTTCTTTATGATTATTATATAATTATATGTTATAGGTAATATTAGATATAGATTAGTTTTGAAAAGACTAAATAGAAACCAGTCTTTTAAACCAGTTTTATTATTAATTAGTCTAGACCAGTCCTCATGAATAGTTAAAATAGCTAATTAAAAATATAATATATAATCTTTTATTATTAACTGCTGATATTATATGATTTGAAACTAAAAACTATTAATAAACTGATTTTCTATATAATATGAGACATAAGCATTTTTAATTTTTTAAGACTAAGTTAAAAATCACGAAATGCAATATATTTGTACTATGACTATGTAATCACTTTTATCAAATAATAGATCTGGTAATATATCTAGTATAAATTAAAAAAGCAGAAGATACTTTACAAGATGAAATTGCAGATCATATAAGTAGCATCACAAATATTTAAAATATGCAATATACAATATTGATATATACAGAGTTAAAATTATAGCAATAGCAAATACTGATTTGTTGCTATAGTTGGCACTACTCACATGACCCATAAAATTGGTGACTGCCTTGGTCATATCTAATTTAATACAAAATATAAATGTAATTGCAATTTTAAAAATCTGTAAAATACAATAAATAAAAATATGATATTAAAAAGAAAATATAACTTCAATCATATAAATTTTATATAATTAAATCACATATAATTAACAATTAAGACAACTACTCTATTAAAAAAAATAAACTCTCTTCTGCAGATCTTAAAATGTAAAAATTGACAAAAATAAAAAACAAAAAATATAAAAAATATAGAAAAAACCTAAATAAAAAAGCCTACTTTGGACAAAAAAACTACTAATATAAGATACAAAGTAAGAATACAACCACTTTAACTATACAAGACAAAAATAAAAAAAGAAAATTCAATACTTTTAACCAAGAAGGCAAACTAAAACTATCAAGGCCATTGGTAATGCAAAGTTATAAAATAAAAACACCAGGCACAATAAGCAGCAATCACAAATATTCTACTAAATAGCAACAACATTATACTAATCTAGATACTATCTACAAAGATGTCTACAATAAAAAAAAATATACTATTCTTTTTCAAATTCTAGTTAGTAACAAAAATAGATGATACAGTATACTTTCTACAAAACAAGCAATAATGTCATTTTAAGCAAACCAGCATAATAACAATATAACACAAACCAGCAACAACAATAATACAACAAACATTATAGAAAAAAAACAATACAATAATCATTATGCATAATATACAAGCTTATATAGCTATAAATAAAAATAGAATTATTCAAATTAGTTTATAACTATATAATTTTTATTTTTTTATTTTTTATTTTTTTAAAATGATCTTTTTGGAGTTTTGACTTATAAATAATTTTTTTGATAATATAATTTTATAAACTATTACAAAAAAAATATACAATTAGTTATATATATAATGTTTTTATATTATTTATTTAAGAAGTCTGTTTGAAAGTTCTTTACCAATTATTATATCTAACATCTCTGCTTAAGTGTTTTATTTTAAACTCTTTGAATCTGCAACCTGTATTAATATTACTAAGTTATTCTTAAATTATTATTTTAATTTTAAAACTATTTTATCTTCTAAATAAACCTTCTAAAACTTTTTGTATCTATTTTTATGCTTGATTTAGTATTGTTATGACAGAACTAACACTTGTTGTTAAAATTAATCTTTAATTACTATGCTTTTATAAAGTTTATTCAAACTTCAATATCTAATTTACAACTTATTTATAGTACTTTAGAATACCTCTATTTGTTCTTCAAACTCCTAATTCAAATAGTTCATATAAGATTATTATCAATCTATCAGTATATTAGATTAGCCTGATATTCTTTTTCTTTAATTTATTTTAATGGCTTAGTTAATAGTATCTTTTATTCAAAAGGTCTTGTCTATTTAGATATTTTAATATTGATATCTATTTTTAGTAGTCTAGTCTTTACAATAGTGTTATTAAAGATTCATACTAATTTTTTACTAGCTTTTTCCAAATAGATTTCTTGTTTTCTAATTTTAATAAATTTATATAATCATAAAGACTTATCTAAAGATTGTATTATTTTGATGTTAGTTTGCATTTTTCTATATAATGTTATATTTATACAGATGTTTTATAATCTATCAGTTATGCTGATATAATCATTATTGTAAATATTTTAATTTAATTGTTAGAAATAGTTATTATAATATAAGTATTACATAAATGATTATCTAAATTTTTATTATTAATGGAATTTAAATATCAAACTTACTATATGGAAGATTTAAAACTTATTCACTTTAATAAATTTTCATATTCTAACTATATAATTTTTATATAATATCAATATTTTAACATTATATAAAAATAATACTAATTTTTTTATACTCTTTAACTGCAATCTAATACTTGAATTTTTTATTTTTTATTAAAAAATCAAATGTTATAAACAAAATTACAGATTAGTTATTGTTACAAGATTATATTACTTATTTATGATATTATTATTAGATAAGTAATTGTTAATAAGAGAGTATAATCAAGTAATTGATTAAGTAATAAGATTATTATAGATAAGAAAATTGAATAATTAATTAAATTGAATAAAATATAATAATTATAAGATCATAGAAAATGACTATATAAGTAAAATATAAATAGAATATAGTTTTTTCTCTTTTGTTTTTACTGCTAACTCAATGCAAATCTAATTTTGTTAACAAAACTCAGCCATCTGCCACAGAATTTGGAAGTAAAAAAATTGTAAAAAAAACAGATAAAAGAAATAACCAAAGTGAACAACTCAGATATCAAAATAAGAATAAGAAATTTTGAATAAGTAATTAAAAAAAGTTGAATAAATGTGTAATTTATCAATTTAGCAATTCAGATGTAAAAAAAAAAAAAAATTTGAAAAGAAAAGAAAGTATAATACTACAAAATTAGTTGATGATCATGTAAGCAGAAAAGCAAATCCCATAGTGTGTATTTTGTAGTGTTTTAGTTGTAATGATTGAGTAACAAAAAAAAAAACTAAAAATGATAAAAATAATTAGTTTACAAAATAGCAAGTCAAAAATATTTCTAATTATTTATCTTATTTTCAAACTTCTATAAAATCTTAAATATTTTTACTGTTTTAAAATATTAAATATAAAAATTATTCAAAAAAGAAAGCTTAATTCCAATACAAACTACTTAAAATTTACCTGTCTTTTGATACATATTTTATATCTTCTGAACTTCATTAACAATAACCTACTTTGTATAAAACCAAGAATAATAACTGCTTGAAACCTTGAATCTTCAAACTGTAATTGATATAAACTTGACTCAAATAATTACTAAAAAGAGCTTTAATATTACTTTTTTAATAAAAACTATAATATATATTAATCTATATAAGTATGGGTTGCCGTTAGTAAAATCAGGCAAATTGATATTTTTAATTGCTCATATCTCGATTTAGAAGCTATTCTCATGATTTAATAGTCAAAAAAAAAAGTTTAAGATCTAAACTTTCTTTTAACTATTAAATTCATTGAGATATAAGCAGTGAAAGTTAACAGTAGCCTATATTATTATTAAAAATTTGGCAAATTATTTATAAAAGTTAAATTTGAAAAGATATCTGTTCGGAACAAAATTCCGATTTACTGACCTCCATAGGCTAAATCAAAAATTAATAATTATTTACACAAATTTAAAAATTAGTTAAGGATTACTCAACATTTTATTTACCTTATATATTCTTCACATTCTGTTTCCCTTATTGATTTTAATATATTCTATTAATACATTATTATAACACATAATATTATCAATGCCTCTATAAAGTCTATATTAATTTATTTAGAAAATACGATAAACTACACAATTAAATTATCGATATTATTACTTTTCAGAAAACCCCTTAAAATTATTCAGAGCCAAAAGTTTCATAGCAATAATCGGCCTCCTCTATCGTCTATATTTATATGGCATATGCAATTATGTCAGAAACCAAATATTTACACGGCCTCCAAGTACCATAAATACATTAGCTATTTTGTAAATTAGTTTCGGTGTCAATATTAGCAATGTTTAGCATTTGTTTCAATCCCTGATTTTCTACTTTCAGACTTTCTATTAGAATATCTGTATCCAAATCAGTCTGAGCATCGTAAGCTTCCCTGACTAGACTACTAATGTTGGAAATATATGATTGTAGGGTGACATTTTCTGATAACACTTGTGATGTCGTTGCCTTATGGAGCATAAATTGATTAATAATAATAATAAATGATGAATATTTATATAATATTTCAGAAATTATACATACTCGCTCCTCATCCAGTAGTGCTTCATAATCTCGTTGCATGTCTAATTTACTTCGTTGTATTTCACACTTTTTTTTTTTGATAATAAGATAAATTCTATTAAAGTCTTTCTATCAAAAGGATTACAATAAAAATGCGAGTGAAGAAATCTTACAGATTGAATTCGAAATTTCATCATAACTATTTGCAATGTTGTTTCATATTCTTTAATTATAGATAACAGTTCTGAATTTTCTTCATTTAACTGTCGATTTTCATAAATTAATTGTGCATTTTGACGTTCTATATCCGTTCCAGCTTCAAAAGTTGGGCCTTTATAAATAAGTAATAAAATAAAAATGGTAATAAAATAAAAATTACAGATCGTTCTATGGAATTTTTTAAGTCTTTTGGAACGAATAAAAGGCATTTATTCGTATACCTTTATAATTTGAACGATTTAAAGGACCCTCGTATCTTTCAGCACGACTCTTTTAACAATTGAAATACATAAGTTAACATTTGATATATATAAATCGTATTGCTGAGCATATTTACTTTTAGTTCATCTACTTGTTGCTGTAACCGCCTCACTTGTTCACGATTGACTGCAAGTTGACTACAAAGCTCTTGCGTAAGTTTTCTAAGCCGAGGATCTTCTTCGCTACTACTTGGTGCCATATCTGGTGTCATCGTAACTAATGAACAATTAAAAAAAAAAGTTTGATAAAAGTTGATACCCGGTTTGGTGGGACATTATAATTATGTTAAACACAGTAATTTTCGGAGATCGTATCGGTCATGACTTAGTTAACGGGAAAGATATCCGACAGCACATTGGCACTATCAATTAATCAGTTTTTATTATACGTAAACATTATACGTCTCTATTCTATTAATCAAAAAGTTTTAGTCCTTATATATATCGGTGGCAAAGTCATGTTTAATAATACAAAAGATAGATGACGTAACTTTGATTAATAATTACATTAAACAGTGGACTAAATTTCTTATAGATCAATACAAATCATAATTATTGCACAAACCGAAAGAAATAAAAATCAAAACTACAAATAAACATATAGATCTTTTTCTACTACTACAAATTTAAACAACAAAAATAATATTGAACTGAAATCTATTGCTGCTACTATTGCTCGACATATAATACATTGGCAACATCTTCGTCCGCTTCCTTTTTGGACGTTTCTAACAAATTAGCCAAGCTGTGGTTTCTCGAATGAGTTCTAAGGTGGTTGATCGCTTTGACTGTGTCGATAGCCTTCTTGAATGTTTTACGGGCGTTAAAATTTGTACGAACGCTATTCAACAAATCGAAGTCACCTGGTACACCAATTGGACTCGGTAGAGGTTCTCTGAGCCATGGATGTTCAAGAGCCTGTTCGGCGGTAAGGCGTTTATCCGGATCAACAACCAACAAACTGTCTATAAACCTTTTAGCTGTTAAAAAATAAATGAATAAATAAATAAATTCATTAGAATTAAATTATAACGTAATTAGTTTAATAACTCAACATATTAGCTTTGATACTACCGCAGTCAGTTATTCCTTCCCAATATTCTGGAGGTTCAAATTTATAATCACCCCGAAGGATAGCTTGCATTTCTTCATAACTATCCTCTCGTTCAAATGGCGGATAACCACATAATAAAAAGTACGTAATCACACCAATTGCCCATAGATCGACTGGTTTTCCATGACCTGACTTTTTAAAAATTTCGGGTGCCTATAAAAAATAATTCAAGGAAAAATTATCATTCAATTATAAAATTAGGCAACAAAATAAGATTATAATATCATTACCATGTAACCAGGAGTGCCGCAAGTTGTAGTAAGAACATGAAACTTTTCAGAATCAATAATTCGAGAAAGACCGAAATCGGCAATAAGTAAATCGGAATTTTCGTCAGCCGTTGTAAAGAGAAGATTTTCCGGCTTAATGAGTTATATAATAGTTAATATTTATGAAATTATACATTAGCTGAATCTAAAAACGAGAAAACACGATACCTTAAGATCTAACGTAATTATTTAAGCGAAAATAAATCAAAAAATTAATTAATAAACGTTTGATACTAACGAATATTACTTAAATACAATAGCAATAATACAAGTCAAAAAAGATATTTACCGCGATGAACAATTCCATTACTGTGAAGATAAGAAACGGCTTCTGTTATACTTTTAATAAGATTAGCGGCATCGCGTTCATAATAATTGCCTTTAGCACAAATGCGATCAAATAATTCTCCTCCAAGCGCCAGATCTGTCACCAAATATACTGTTTATATAAACAGTTTTATTTAAACGTCAGGAGACATTATACGATTGAATAATACAAAAAAAATCAATACTAACAGATAAAATTAAAAAGTCATCGCCTCAAATGGCAAATGTTAAACCTACGATTATTTAGAGTCTCAAAATATTCTCGCAAGGTCAAAATGTTTTTATGGCCCTCAGATATTTTTTTCAAAACCTGAATCTCATTACGAACCATATGTTCTCTTCCCTGCATCAACTTTTTGTTGATAACTTTTACAGCATAAAATTTCCCAGTCTCGACCTATTGAGAATATGCCATTGTAAATAATTATTTAAGATACAAACGACGAATCGTTATTTAATGAATAGCATACATACATGTTGAGCCTCTAGATATGAGTAGCCATAAATGCAAATATAAATGTTAATATTATTATAAAGCTTGGGTATAACATGAAATTTCTGTTAACGAACACTGAGGTAAAATAGCACCTCATTTGCATTGATTCCAAAACAACAGAGCTCTTACTAACCTTTGACTACGGCATAAGTGCCTTGCCCGAGAGTTCTGCCTGTTTTATACTAACATTAAATGGAAAGCATTAAACTTCGAGCATTTTAAATAAAGCAAATAGAGCCAATGCACGACTCACCTTGCAGGGTACTAGTGGGACTTGGGCCATTGAGATGTTGATAGAAAAAGAAACTCGTGTTTCTATCAAAGATTTTACAGCTTCCTAATTTAGGGGAACATTAAAGCCAGGTACAAGTTGGGGTTACTTTTTTGATGCGGTTATGGTTAGTGGTTGTATAAATATCAATAATACAATTTATGTAGTATGTAGATCATTATATGACCTCCTAATTTAACAATATTTTGTAAACGTTGTACAACTCACGATGAAACTTAAAGTTTACATTGACTTTGAAGTTTTGATTGGCTTTAGAACAGTTTATTGCGTCATTTACATAGAATTCCCTTTGTTTAATTATTATATACAGATGGACAAACCCTGATTTGCATTATGCATGGGAAAACAAAAATTAAATATTTGATATTGTGCTATTTACCAAGTTTTTTTTTTTTTTTTTTACGTATCGATATATTAAATTTAAGCATTAAAGCATTAACTTAAAAATATAATATTTTCAACAAGAAGAGAGATTTGAGTGAACCATCCTGTAGTTTGCTCATTGGGGCCATGTAGTCAACCTTCTCCCAATAGTGGTCTTTGTTCTCTGGACGCATTGCGTGTAGACCTGAGCGAATCTGATAACCTTCCACCATACCTAATCCAAACAGTGATGATTGCTATAAGTTGAGCAATAGCGAGAATTGCGCATTGAACCGATAAATATTTCTCGGCACGTTGTTGTACCGCAATAGAAATTAAACACCTATTAACAATTAATGTTAATTATTTTTGGTATATCAAGAAAGATCTTTTAAACAATCGGCAATGGCGCAGCAGATAGCCACTGTATACTATATGTCGTTTTAGCCCTGGTTTATATAATCTAAAAATTATTGTTTATGGATACATACCAGGCAATGGTTGCGCTGAAGACACCATCTCTTCTTCCACCACTAAAAATGCCAGTAACACACCAAGCAAAGCCAAGAATTGCAAGGAGCCAAGCAGAAATAATAGCTAATATTATTTCTGTTTCTTTGTTAGCGGTAAACGCAACGAATCCATTATGGAAAAAGTCTAGAAAAGTCATTCCTAGTAACATAGCGAACGGTGTGTGTACGAAATAAGCAACCTTGGAGACTTGAGAGGAAGGAAACGAAAAAGGTGGAAATTGAACAACAAGATTATGGTGGATCTTGGATATGACCAATAGGTTAAGAATTATGAAAACCTCGCTAATAACAAATTGTTTTAGCATCTAATATCAAAAATATATTTTGGCGGTTAGACCTTATCAAGTTGAAAAATATCAAAAGAGAACTTTTTATAAAATGTACCCAAAACACTAGCCATCCGATCTCTAGTATGTTGCTTAAAACAAATAGGCCACCTATTCCTTGGGTCACAAGTCGTTTCATATTAGAGTAGTCACTAAACTGTACCCAAACTACAAAAATAAAAAATAAAGCACTAAGCAAAATCCAAAAGATTCCAACAAAAATCAGGGAAGGGGAAAAGTATGTCATATGTTTTTTGTGGATATCAGCAGAAGAAGGATCACGGGCAAGGGCAATGACATTGGCAATAAAAACAAACAAGAAAGATAGAAGGTTTGCGGCGCGAAGGAGCTTTAGCTTGCTCGACATGGCACGCTCTTCTCGGATGGTTTCTGGGGACACTGGCATTGTTACTATTATCGAGGGAATTTGACTCGGACGGAGAATTTATACAAAATCACAAATAATGTCACGTGATTGACTCTTTGATCGACAGTAGTGTCCAGGATTATGATCCGGCATAATATCCTTACGGCACATAAAATATGCGATTTTGCATAATTTAAAGAAATCGCATTCTCACGTTTGAATGCCAACTATATTCGTGCTTGTAATTTTTGATATATGTAGAATTACCACACTAGTAAAAATTCCATGCCTTTAGGTTAGGGACAGGATCTTAGGTAGGGTTCGAAGATACAGAGATTTTCTATAATACGTAAAGGACGGTTTCATAGTCAATATTTTATAAACGCTTATCTTACGGTATGCTGATCTTGAAATTTGACTGGTCAACGGAAATTTTTTTAAGCTTAATCCCTAATAATTCGCATAATTTTAAGTTTGCCGCACGCATAATTTGGCAATGACCGGACACTCTAATCGACAGTTTCTATTGGACGCTTAGAAATACTGTTCTTGATTGGACGAAATTGATTACAAATTCTGATTTGACATCATAACATATAAATATAGATACTACTAAAAATTTTGCTTTATTAAGACACCAATAATTATTGTGTCATTTTTTGTTACACTGGATCTTAAGACAAAACGTACTGATAAATCACCGGGTAACTTCTGAACAAGAAATTATAAATTACCGTAATTGTAGAAACCTGAGACTACATATCTGTTAAAAGGATGGCACAGAAACAAAGGCAAACGCCTTTGTATGATCAACTTGAACATGTTGAATTTGTAAGATCGCGAATGAGCTCAATTAACGAGGCTCAACAGGAATTTATTAATTATAAGGGTGACATTAAGGAGCCTTCGAACTGGTAAGTTTCGTCTCAGCCATTATGTTTGATATTAGTTTTATATTTATACTTGTGCAGTAAAAAAAATAAAAAATCATTTACTTTTGAGGGTTGATTATCTTAATAGATTTAACATATTTCTTTCCAAGCATGTGGGTTTTTCGAGCACTTTTATTGAATTAAATTTACGAAGAATTGTAGTTTATCCAAAAGAGATTCCACCACCAGAACAAGATGAAAAGATTTCTTTTTTATTACGAACGAAACGTATTCCTGAAATTGAAGAGGAGGAGGAACGTATAAAACATAACGTTTCTATTGATGAAGATTTATATCAGGATGAAAAAGACGCTATTGTTGATATGAATGACGAAACAAAATGGGATAAATTATTAAATGAATGGATGTTACGATACAATGAACATGCAAAAGTTGCATTGGCTGCGTCAGAATTTTCTGAGAACGTAATTGGAGACATCAATATAAAACTTAGATTAGAAGACGATGAAACCGATTCTAATTTAACTACCGAAGAAACTGGATCTCAGAGTGATCTCACTCTGGAGAAGGTTCTTGCATTTATGTCAAGTGGGATTCAAGATAGTAAGTGATTCAATAGCATCAAATTTTACTTCATGTTCACACAATACGTGTGGCGTTACCAATCAATAAAATTTCTCTTTATTACAAATCTATGCATTCCGTTACTTCACATAGAAAGTTGATTGCATGCCAACAAATAGTGATTCTGGTACGACCGATCAAAAATATCAAGACAAGCAACCAGATGACTTTATGATGCGACGCGAAAATTTAAACAATGATAATAATAAAATAAGCAAAATTTTTGATTATGAACCATTTTACGTTCTAATAGAAATGTTAAATTTTATCATAAGAACTTATTTTTGCTTTTATTATATTGGGATTATATTTTTTCATTATCAAACAACACATATGATTGGGACAACTGGAACGACTATCATATTTCATAACCTAAAGTACCCTTTTCTGTATAATGTTTACTTTTAGCACAGTCTAACCTCAATATAATCATGGGTTGGTAACCAAAATTCATTATTATTAAGATGATAATGCCTATATGGTGGTTAATTTTTATGTTTTACAATTATTGGGTAAACTAAAAAATGTAATTTTTATATAATTTGTGACTTTATTGAGGTTAGACTATATTGAAAATTTTTAATTTTTTTAATAATACAAGGTTTGTATTTATATACAGTATGTTGCAAAAATAACCAGAAAATTTTTATAAAATTTAGATTTGTATGATCTAAATTTTTTAGTTTGGATTTTTTAGTTTAGATTTTTTTTTTTTTTTTTGAATTTCTTACTGCTTGGTCACTAGTGGGTTGCAGATGGTGGCTGTTTTATTAGTTCTTATTTCAAATTCATGGGACCTTCTATTAGGACTCTGTCTACATTTTACATTATTTGTGTACATTTACAGTACTATCTATATACTAATTTTGTGTTACTATTATCCTGGAATTTCATTGGAATTATTCCTAATCAGAGATTTTTTTGTTCTATTATTATTCTCAGCCCTCTAATTATCGTGGTCTTCTTATGTTAGATTCATCATCATTTAAGGATTTGGGTACTGAAGATCTTCCTATTTTCATAGTTCTCAGTTAGTTGTGGTTAATTAACCATCATGGTCCTAACTCAGTTTTCGTCTCCTGTTGGACTTGAACCGGCAACCTTGTGATTAGTGATCTAGGAACATAACCACTTTGCTATCGACCCGCAGGTTATTTAGATTTTTAATTACTAATTTTTATATAAAATTTGAAGACAAAAGATATATAATGAATTTTAAATAATTTTTAT